TGACCATCCTATAGGCTTCTTGGTTAAGAATCTCTATTTGCTTGGCATTGCTTGATTTATTCTGGCATCATCACTGCTGAATCAGGATGAACATAGGTCAGCTTTTCATCTGGCTCCTCTTGACTCCAGTAGAGTATGGATAGAGCTGGCTTCATACAGGAACTTGTAAGCTCTCAACAGGTTTGGGCTGTATTCCGGGAAAAACAGAATGAGGAAAGACTTTCAAAATTTGTGCAGAGTAGGTGTTTTATGCAGACAAAGTAAGAGAGAATGTGTTATATGCTGAGAGAACTTATTTGATTGGGTTTATGGATGAAGACTCTGAAAACGATTATTTTAGACACTGTATTGGACTATCATACCAAGCTTTTTTTATATATTATGTATTTCACTTGCTACAATTTAATAAAACCTAAATAAGCTCAGTACATTCTAGGAATATGAATAAAATATGTGGGTGGTACCTTCTAGAGAAAATTTCTGCTTTGAACTTCTTCAGGCTATGAGTGCAGGGGACCCTCTTAGAATAGCTTATAAACATGTTGTTTTCACATCTTTGTATCTTTGTTCATCCTGTTATCTCTGCTTGCAATGGTTTTTATTCATTCTCTTATTTATAAACTATTTTCTGAGCATCTACTCTATGCCAGACACTCTGCTCAGTTTGGGAGATTCGGCGACAGTTCTTTATGCAGGCCATCCTCTTGGCTTTTGCACATGCTATTCCCTCTGGCTGTAATGTCCTTCTCATCCTTCGAATTCATATTTAAACATTACCTATTTTAGGGAGCATTCCACAACCCCCTCAATACTGGATTACGTGTATTTCTTCTCTGCTCCCTTCCACAACACTTATCATCCTTTATTACATTTGTGTATTTGATAGCTTTCCTACTAAATTACGAGCCACTTGAGAGTAGGGATTCATTTATTAATTATATATTAATTAATAATATATGATTATTATATATAACTTAATATCTATATTAATAATATATAATTAATTCATTTATTTTATATATTAATTTATTACTATATCTTTACTCTGTGGTCCTATATTAAGGTAACAATGGAAACAACTGAGATTATTCAACCTTCTCACCTCTTAAGATGATACCTGTCAAAAATAATAATCATGTTAATGATCATTCATTGGTTCAACAATGCCTGCTATGAGCCACTCACTATCTAAGTGCTGGTGATTCAACAACTAAATTTCCTTCTTTCATGGACTTGTCATTCAAGTAGTAGGGAGAGATGTTTACTCTGTGCCAGATACTGTTCTGAGCATTTTACATGTTTTAATTCACTTAATTCTCACAACAACCCTATGAGGTATATTGATAAATTGTACTGATTTTACAGTGAGAAACCGAGGCCCAAAGTGATTAAGTAACTTGGCCAAGGTTATACAACTGGTGAGTTGCAGACCTGATATTTGACTCAGGTCAACTCACTCCAGAACTTACACTCTTAACCACAGAACCCTTTTCTCATCTGCAAATCCCTTCAAGGATTTTTGCTCTAACTATTCTAAATTACTTAATATGCCTGAATATTCCATGTTGTTATATATTCCCTTGCCTTTGAATATCTTGTTCACACTTCCTGAAATGCCTCCCTAACCTATATCCTTTAGACCTTAGCCTAGAAGTCACTCGTTCTAGGAAAAACCTTGCTTAATCACTTCTCTCCCCAAAAGACCACTTTAGATATCTGTCCTCTTCTTTATCATCCTTTATTATAATTTACTGTCTCCCATTCTAGAAAGTGATTTCTAGAAATTTTATTTGTGCTTTAGGCTGTTATGTTTCTAAAAGACTACTTGCAATTTCTTGATTTTTGATAGTATATCAGGATAGTACAATTATATACAGAAATTGATGTTGAGACATTACAAAATTCACTATATGATACCTGACAACTTGTTTTACAAACTTGTTAGATTCAGTGTATTTCAGAAAATATGCTTTCTTAACTCTTTAGTTAATGGTGTGCTTGTTAGGAAATATATTTTGACAGATTCATTGAGTTGTCCAAGATCATACAGCTAGTTAGTGAGAGTGTTGGGCGCAGAAGTGAACACAGGTCTGCTGTTTCCCAATCCCAGGCCTTTTTTCTTTTTATAGGCACCTTGCTGACATTAATTCAATTCCAATTAAATTTGGAGATACTGTCTCAGCACAGATCAACCCATCTCTTCTAAAAGCCAGTGATTTCCAAAAAATAAATGAGTAACCTTAAAGGACACCAGAAAAATCACTCTTCCCTCCAAATATTGTCCTTACTAGTATGTTTTAGAAATATCTAAATTATAGTTTTATAGTGAATTAACCACATCATTCTACACTTTATAGCAACTAGTTGTTCAGATTATTTGTAACATGACAGTTAACTCAAAAAAGCTTTTGAAAGAAGGGAGAGTATATGTAACAGAGTATACTGAATAAGGAGGACAGGACATAGTTGAAAATGTAGAAATAAATTAGGGGATCAGTGAGAACTATCATAGGGCTTTAGAACATAAAGGAGTCTTAGTCGGGGAAGGATTTACGGAGAAATTAGGACCTGAAGGTAGAAAATGAATAAATATATGTAATTCATGTGGAGGATACACATGGTAAGCTGGACTGGTAGCCATGTGCATTGGTATCTGAAAAGAGTGAAACATTCAACTTGTCTTATGTTGAGGAGAGAAGTGGCATGTATATAGTTGGAGAACAACTTGATTGACAGGCAAAGTAATTGAGACTTAGTGCTCTAGGAATTAGAAATAAGTTTTTGAACAAAGGGATAAAGTGTGAAAATAAGCCACATTTAAGGAAGGTATATATTTGGCGCATATCTGTTCAAATTTAAAGCTGGACTTAAAAAAATAAAAGGATTAAAATCATCTCTTCCTTCTCCTACAGGCTACATTAGAGTGAGAACAATTTCTTAATACTCATATCTACTGTTCTTTGAGCACTTACTATATGCCAGACACATGATAAAGCTTTTAAATGCAAGACCTTATTTAATGTATGAGAAATATCACAATCCTGTGAAGTAGGTACTCTTGCTACCTCCAGTTTAAAGATGAAGAAACAGGATCCCGAGAGGTGAATTGATTTTCCCGAAGTCAGATAGCTCACAGATTGAGGAGAAACAATGTGAACCCTGATCTGTTTGACCTGAATCTAGTTAGTACAGCTATTGCACTTAGCTGACATGCAACAAACACCTGTTGAATAAATGGGTGAATGAATATATCAGTCAATCTATCCTCTTCTGCAGATGACCCTACATATTAGCTTTAATGGTTTTCATGATCTTGATAAGCTTAGGTCAGTGTTAAAAGTAAGGAAGAGGTTTGAGCTACAAAAGAGAAGAATTTACATAGGAAAATCTCTTGACTGGAATTTCTGATTGCATAGAGATGGTTTTGGTTAGAAATTATGTATATATATATATATATATATATGTACACACAAACACACAGATATACATGTATATATGTATGTGTATGTGAGTGTGTGTGTAAACACGTACATACATACACTTCAACAGAACAGTTTGGATCACCTTTGACACACACGTACATGCACATGCAGACCCACATGCTTTCTTTTGTTTTCTTAACCCTCCTGAAAGGGTGTAAATAATAGAATGTCAGAGCTAGAAGGGACTTTAGCAATTGCCCAATCAGATGCCCTCATGTGAATGTAGAGATTGAGGCACTAGAGGGAAAGTAAATTGCAAAGGTCACACAAGGAGTTAGAGTAGATTAAGAATTTGAGTTTCCTAACTCACAGGTTTGTTTTACTTTGAACTGTCACCATTTACCATCTCAGTTTTATAGATGGGGTAACCAAAGTATCCTAAGAATGTTGATGGTCAAGCTCCTGCTACTTGTCCGTTGAAGCAGGACTTGAAATCAGATCTCTTTTATTTTAAATATGAGGCTTGTTTTCATTCAAGTGCTTCTGTCTGGATGCCCAGAAGGAAGACCTTTTCCTATTGAATTAAATAGTGGACTGAAGATAATTTCCAGAAACCTTTGTCCTTCACTTTAAGAGAAAATGGCCAAAGCTGCTTTATTTTCAGAAGGCTGGCAGTCCCAAGGAGGCTCCATGAAGGCAGGGATTTTGTCTTCCTGACTGAATCCACAATACCTAGCACAAAAGAAGGCACTCAAAAATATTTGTTGAATATATAACATACTTTCCCACGAAGGGAAAGTAATGGTCCCCCAATGGATGACGGATGGATAATCATTATTAGTGCTGAAAAAATGGGAATGACTGTGGAAAAGAGGAGGGAGAAACCGTTAAACAAAGGAGAAGCTCGGTGTCTCTTTAGCTGATTGAAGCTGCAATCACTCAGCAAGGGCTGAGTGGCTTGGTAGGACTGCGATTGGCAGAGATATTTAAATGAGGCCTCCTTAAAATTGTTACTCTCCACCCCACCCCCACTCCTCTTTAAATTCTGTTTCAGTCATTACCCAGGGACCGGATACAGAGATTCCTATGGGGAGTTCTAATGGGTCGATTCAATTTCAACGGGATGACGCCACTTAGCCAAGCATTAAGAGCTATAGCTCCGGGAAAGCAAACGAGGCGGGGGGGAGAAAGAGAGGCAGAAAGAGAGACTGTAACAAGGAGCAATAAATCCCTTCCCTCCCCTATAACCCATTCACAAGACCTCTAGAAAACGTCTACATTCACAAAACAGCTGGCTAGCTGAGCTGAACACACTGCAATCTCATCCCCCTTCCTCCCCCCACCACCGCGGCCCGCTCTCTGCAGATTATATACCAACACACCCTAAGCTATATAAATAATCACACACTAGCGGTATCTATTGCTCTGTTGAGATACCCTGTGTCTACAACTGCAGTTTCTGCTGCTTCGGTTCATCTGTCAGATTGGAGGAGGGGGGAGGAGGGAAGGGGGAGGGGAAGAGAAGGGGAAGGAAAACGCTGGAGGAGGGGAAAAAGAAGGAGGAGGAGAAGGGGGAGGAGAAAGAGGCGGAGGAGGAGGGGGAGGAGAAATAGGAGAAGGAGGAGGAGAAAGAAGAGGAGGAGGAGGAGGTGAACAACTTACCCCGCTGAGCTTTCTTTGGGGAATACGTGCATCAAGGTTTAGATCTGCATGTAAAATCCATACAAAGTATCTGCCACTACAAGTCTGACTCTCCTCCCTACCCCGTTTGTTTGTTTTTTTTTTCTTTCCCTTTTCTCTGCTGTCAGAAAGACTGAAACAGAACTATCTCTGTTTCTGGCTCCACTGCCAGTGAAGGAGTTTTCATTCAGACTTTCCGAAGAGAGGTGGAGAAACCTAAAGACTCAGGAGAAGAAGAGGTCCTTTGAGCCAGATGGGGCATTAGTTCTTCTGCTTTTCTCAGCATGGATAAGCCCTTTCTTCAAGGTAAGCTTAGAGATTAGCTCCTAAAGACCTCAGAATTCTTTCTATGAAATGCACAGATTGCCATTCATTCCAGTCATCGTGTGTGTGTGTGTGTGTGTGTGTGTGTGTGTGTGTCTGTGTGTGTGTGTTTGAGAGCGCGCGCGTGTCTGTGCACGCGCACAAGCGCAAGCGCATGGGTAGAATAAAATGAAAACCGTTTAACTGAGATTTAAATGAATCAGCTCTTGCAGAAAACTATCCGTATCGGAAATTTCTAAATCAAAGGAGAACTTCAAAATAACTCTTTTGTAGCCAAATGTCAATGCAATTTCTAGCCTGTTGACCTTTAAGTGAATTTTGGTGCTTGCCTAAGCCCCTTATAGCGCAGCCTAACCACCCAAGCTGAGAACGTACGGAGAGCCCGTGCTGAGGCCAGTCTGGCTGCCCAGCGGGCATCCTGTCAGTGTACGGCTAGTCTGCTATTGGCTCACAAGTCTGGGCTGTGCATCGTTCAGATTTCATCACATCACCTTGCCCTGGGTAGAAATGGCGCAAGCTGACACGGCATAACCCCCTACTTACATTGAGTCAGAGCAATGATTTAGAAATCTCTGGATCCATGCCTGGGTGTGTGTGCACATGTCTCTGTGTGGCATATGGAAATTTTGTCAAAAGTGAGAACCTGTGAGCATGTCTAGTTAGCCAATAGACATCTGATAGGACCTAGGGAAGTGGTTCACAGTCCCTTCCATTCGTGTAATTATAGTTACCACTCGCCTCTGTATGCTGCAAACCATGTTGGATGAACAGAAAACAGACCTTGAACTCTTAGACAGAAAATCTATTTTGAAACGCAAACCATTGTTGCTTTTCTGGGTACATTAAAACCTCACTGTAACATAATGTGCTATCACATGAATTTGGATATACCAGGTGTTAAGTGATGTTCCCAACAAGTCAACTGCGTACATACATACAAAGAAGGCACAGGCTAGCTTTTTATCCACAAGGAAGTATTAATCTTGTTCCCTAAACCTCTAAATAAACATTTCGAAGACTTTATTGTAACATTGTATACATTTTGGCTTTTTTGTTCTGTTTTTAGGTCTCTCTAGCTGGGAAACAATCTAGTTAGTGATCTGAGTGACTTGGATTCAGAGTTGAGAAGTTGAGTTGTGAGGAAGTAAGGAACCTGAAGGAAAGGACACCAATTCTTCATGAAAGACTTTTGAGGCAGAGGAACGCAACCAACAAACCCAGCATAAAAATTTAGAGCATAAGGACAAGAAGGGGATTTAAAAACCTTCCTTTCATACCCCCCTCATTTTGCAGATGAAGAAACGGGCCTGGAACAGAAGTCACTTGCCCACAGTCACACAGAACTTAAGTTTCCTGTCTCTTATAAAAGGATTTGGGGTTTAAAGAAAGATTCCTACTTCTTAAATGAACAACTAGCATTTTCTTCAGGATTAGAAGTATGTGAATTCATTTGATATTACAATTTTTCCTTGTATTGCTCATTACTAAAACACCTATATCTTTAAAAACGCAGGCTCTTAAAACTGCAAGACTCTCTGGTTTGAAATAAACTGCTGTTGAGTCTTAATGAAACTATGAAGGTAATGAATAGGACTAGGGTAACAAAGTGACAAGTTAAGAGTTAAATGTGGTGAGAACCTGGCAGCTCCAACAAGATGTATGTGGTAGGACGGAGGCCCAGTCAGTGGCTGAGAGGTTAGTAATGTAAACTATATACAACTTGGTATTTGTAAGGGGGGGAGTGCTTTGATAGAGATGCAAATGCTCTTGCACAGAGAGGGATTTTTAGCGAGCAGACTTTGGAAGAGTAGAACTAAGAAAACACATAAAGCCATAGCAGAAATGCCCCCTATGTTTGCTTTCAGTTATTCTGAGAACGAGTGTATATAACAGCAGAGCACAGAAGAAAGCAACACACCCCAGAGCCGTTACACAGTAAGGTACAAAACAGCATTGAACCCATGGGACTAGGAGAAAACAGGAGCCAGGCTCTCCTTCTCTTCTCCCCTCTTCTTTGAAATCAAGATTGAGTCATGCTGTATCGGGAAGGATTTATCATAAAAATCAGAACACTCTTAAGGTGTTAGCATAGAAGGGCTTTAGATAGGAAAGTTTTCAACTTTAGTCTCAACATGGCAGATTTTAGGTTCCAGGGAGAAAATACATTTTTCTTTCATTAACAAACAGCATTTCTTGAATGGATTTACCTTTCTAGTCCCTAAGTTGGCATAAGAAAAGAAATTTCTGTTTAGGTTGAACATAGCAAATTTCAGGGCTACAGAAAAACTGTTGAGAAAGCTATGAGCACCTGGCCAGAGGGACTGAGATGGGAGTGGGTTTACAATGCATCATTCATTGCTGCACAGGCACTACGTGACAGAAATCACTAGATCCCATCAACGTGCAGCCAAGACTTGTAATCACCTCGGCTCCTATTTAATAATATATGATATGTATATTCTCTCTCTCACTTAATAGAATATGGAATTCACCAGCAGCACAGTCAGTTTCTTACTGTTGCTGCTCACAATGAATGGCCCTTTAATGAGTGGGTTTCTGAACCATAAACGTGCTTGCAGTAGTAGTTTTTCGTCTAATCTATGTGCTGCATAGATTGTCTATTTGTTTCTCAACTTTTCTTCCCCTCTTACCTTCCCCTACAGTATCTATTTCAGTTCATCCTGTTAGCCAGATCGGAGTCAGCACATCCGGAATGGCAAACAATTTATTGTCATTCAATCCTGTTTTATCCTACTCGACACCCTGATTTTACCCAGGTCCTACTGCCCACCGTATTGCAGATCTTCCACAGTCCATTCTAGTAAAGATTTTACAGGGCAGGAAGAAACCTTCTGAGTTCATCCTGTTAATCCCCTTACCTGTAAGCAAAACAGTAGTACTTCATCATCCCAGACTGATGCCCAAAGCCTCATTTAATCATGCAAGCATCTCAACTCTTCAGTCTTGCAGCACTCTAATCAATACCCAAATACGCCTTCTCAACCTAAACACCATATACCCTTCTGCTGCCAAGACAGGAGCCCCTCGTGCCTCTGAGTTATTTGTATTATGACCTAGATTCCTCCAAGCATAGCTTTCAACCTTCTGGGCAAGTCCCTGAGATATCTAGTGACATCCTTGGGATCCCATATGATTATCTCCTGTAACATTAAGACCTAGTATGCCTTCCTTTGAGTCCTTGAGCTTTTGAATTTCCAGTCTGTTTGAATCTAATTTCCTTTGGGAAATCAGTGAGTCTAAAATGCATCTAGCATGTACGTTATTGTTTTTACAGTGTAGATGACTTGAAGAGCCCCACACATTATTTATCTGATCAATGGGGAATAAATTCATTTCTTATAAAATTATCAAAAGATTCTTCCCAATCCAAAGCTCCTACATCCACATACCCTGCAAGCCAGCTGAACAATGTGTCCTTGTTTATTTGGGTGTCCAGATGAAAACTACCTGTTTCTTTCTAATGCTGGGACTATGAGTCTTAACAAAGATACAGCAAAGGTAGAGGTGTAAGGCTTCAGGGGATTGTGAGTCCAAGTAGATAAAAGAGACAAACATGTTGCTTTTGAATGCCCAAGTAAACAAGGGCATGTTGCCCAGTTTACCCTCAAAGGCTGAAGATGTAGAAGGTATGGACGAAGAGAATTATTTTGTCAAATTGTTTAGTTATGTAATTACAGACCATAATAGGGAAGAGTCCCTCAAAATCACCTTGTCCATTCCTATAATTATATAGGTACCGGAACTGAGGCCCAAACAAAGTAAGTAAGTGATTTGCCAAAGGTTACATGTTTGAGTCTTAGAATCTCCATAGTCTTTATCTGCGTTCTCTTGTGCTGCATTAAATAACACTGAAACAAGTAGCTAAAAAGTGAAATTATAGTCAAACTGGTTCTTTGATGTGATGTGCCAGAAAAGTTATTTTTAACTAAATTAAATCTTCTTTTCAAAAAATGAACAGATGTAAATTCAACTAAATAAGTTTGCATGGGGATATAGCCTCGAAAGGCAATGAGTCTGGTCATGTTATTAGCCACTGAGCCCTTTATGAACTACGTCTTTTTTTTTCTTGCTGTTGAACTTGGGGCACATTTCAGTGTCATGTTTGCTTGCTTATGGAAATCTAATCAAGCACTATCCTCTTTCACTTGTTCCTTTCTGTTACTCATTCAAGCTTTCCATCCCATACAGTAGTGTGAGTAATCGATCTATTTTGAGGAGGCCTGAAGTCTGATGGATTTCAAATATATGCTTTATTCATGCTAGTGTTTCCTAGGTCCTAATGCCCCCATGGTGACTCTTAGATTTTTGTTTAACTTTCCTTAGGCACACCTCTTTCGGCTGTTCAGTCTTCCAGGTGGTGCACTACAGTAATCTACTGCTGGAAAAATATTTTCCTCATGGTCACCGTTATCAGCACTAGGCTCAGTCAAATGCTTCAGGGAATGACCACCGAGCGCTTCCTGATTGTGGTACAATGAAGGCACAAGCATATATTTTCTAGATATTCAACTTGTCTGAAATTTGGTATAGAAACTGCTGCTCTTTAAGAAAGCCAGTTTATTGTCTAAGGTAAAGACAGACAAAAGCAGTCCAAGCAGATTCTGCCTCATAAACCCCATCAATATAGACTTGACTTAGGGCGGTAAAAAGTACAATTATAGGTGATATTTGAAATAATTCAGGGCTCATCTTCTGTGGTTCCCCCATCCCCAGGTTATTCCTATGTATACAAAAGTTTGATTCTGAAGCCATGCTGCCATTTAGAAAGAATTACCTCCTCAGTAAGTTAAAGCAGCTTATAAAATGAGGAGAACAGCAAGATGATTAGTCTTGACTTTCTTACCCCCTTGGGAAGCCTTTTTTCCTATTATTCTACGGATAGCCTAATTTCTGCCATCTGTGTCTCTGCCATATCTCTGCTATTACTGCAACTTGCTTGCTTGCCTGTATTCATTGAATCAAGCTTGTCCTTTATCATCTGTTTATTTATGCTTATAAATTTCACTGAAAGGAAAATTTTGCGTGAGAATATATATATACATATATATATATACATATATATGTATATGTATATATGCAACTTCTCATGGAAGGCTTTTGGGGCTTTCTCTTTTACATCAGTGTTGCTTTAGGAAGTGACCTTTGCATTTGAAATTAGGTTCCATTTTTATAAGAATTTTGATGCTGAAGGCCTAGATTTCTTGGTTAGCAAAGCTCTTAATGAGCGAAGTGCTCCTGTGACCCTAGTCGTATGATGGGCTACTACAGGAATCCATAATCAGATCTTTGCTCCCAATGTGCTTTATAGTCTGGATGAGATAACCAGACTTGCCTGTAAAGAAGCAGGTGAGGTCAATTACAGAATAGAGGAGTAACATGAAGACTAAAGTGATTTAAGGTAGTGGTGGTGATGGGGCCCGAGGTTTGTTGGTTCCCTGCAAAGCACTCATGCCTGTGTGTTCTCATTCATTGTTTCTATTCCCTCTCTCCTAGGATTTTCTGATGCGCCCTAAGATCCATGTAACTACAAGGGCTCTTTATCACCACAAGTGCCACCCTGACCCCAAACCACTCAGAACTCAAGAATCAAGGCAAAATGGATGCCGCAGTGACAGATGATTTCCAACAAATCCTGCCTATTGGACAGCTGCGCTCTACTCACGCGAGCAATGATTATGTGGACCGTCCTCCAGTCCCCTGTAAACAGGCCCTCTCCAGCCCTTCCCTTATCGTGCAAACCCACAAATCTGATTGGTCCCTGGCTACCATGCCTACTGCTCTCCCACGCAGTCTCAGCCAGTGCCATCAATTGCAGCCCTTGCCTCAGCATCTGAGCCAATCTAGCATTGCCAGCTCAATGTCCCATAGCACCACTGCCTCTGATCAAAGGCTCTTGGCCAGCATTACGCCCTCACCTTCAGGCCAGTCCATCATCCGAACCCAGCCTGGAACAGGAGCCCACCCAAAGGCTGATGGTGCTCTGAAGGGAGAAGCTGAGCAATCTGCCGTGCACCCCAGTGAGCACCTCTTCATCTGCGAGGAGTGTGGGCGCTGCAAATGTGTCCTCTGTACGGCAGCTCGCCCTCTCCCCTCCTTCTGGCTGTGCAACCAGCGTTGCCTTTGCTCCGCTGAGAGCCTCCTCGATTATGGCACTTGTCTCTGCTGTGTTAAGGGCCTCTTCTACCACTGTTCTACTGATGATGAAGACAACTGCGCTGATGAGCCCTGCTCCTGTGGGCCTGGCTCTTGCTTCGTCCGCTGGGCAGCCATGAGCCTCATCTCCCTCTTCTTACCCTGCCTGTGCTGCTACCTGCCTACCCGTGGATGCCTCCATCTGTGCCAGCAGGGCTATGATAGTCTTAGGCGACCAGGCTGCCGCTGTAAAAGGCACACCAACACTGTGTGCAGAAAAATCTCTTCTGGTAGCGCGCCCTTCCCCAAGGCCCAGGAGAAGTCTGTATGACCTTCCCACAAGAGGGATCCAGTGCTTTCTCCTTCTAGGCCCCATCAATAAAGCATAGGCCTCATCTTTGAAGAAGGGGAGGAGGAGAAAAGTAGCCAAGCCAAAGTTAGGGCTCACCAATTTCGTTCCTGCAGTGTCAGGGGAATGGTCAAGTACATCCTGGTGCAGGATGCCTTGCTCTTTCTCACAGTATCTATCCCACTCCTCCTCAGTCTTTTTACACCCACCATCTCAGCCCTTATGGCTGTCATGGCATATTCAGGTGATATATAAGCATGAGATTTGGACACTGAGGGCTGACAGAGCCAGCAACGTGGAGGTTTAGGGGCTCCCCAACGTAGTACCTCTCGATGCAGGCTCTGAGTGTCACTCTGCTTTCCACAGTGCCTTTGGAAGCTTTCTTCTTAGATGGTTTTCACAGGTCCACGTGGAACAGTGTTCAGTATTCCAGGGAATCTGACCCCTTCTCCGTCTACCGCCCCTCTGGTCTTTAGTCTTTTTCTCATTTTCTCCTCTTCTTGCATTACTCTGTTCTGTTCTCATTCCCACTCCATTCTCACCCTCTCTACTTTTACTTTTCCTCTCTTTTCTTTCTCTCTCTCTGCTTTCTTCTCCTTCCCTCCCTTTCTCTCAGACTAATCCTTTCTCTGCCTGTATTTCTGTCTTGTTTGATCTAATCTTTGTCTCCTTCTACCTGTCCCTCTTTCTCTCTCTAACACATCAAAAAGTGCTGTTTTTCCGTAGGTGTTTCCTTTGACGCCAAACTTTGCTGTTATACTATTTACTAATTTTTATTGAGGGAAATTGATTACTGTAATGAACTTATCACTAGCAATAGTGTGTGTGCACTCATAACCACACTCGCCAGTTTATGAGCATATGAGGCAAACTTATCTTACATTTCCAGGTTTAATTAGTTGAAGTTTTACTCCCTTTCCCAATGATCAACTTACAGCACTGACAGATTCCACTAGCCTGCTGAGTAGGATAGTAAATCAGGATGCTCATGACTTTGTATGTCTGACCCACGTGCCAGAGGCAGGCGTGCTTTACAGCTAAGTGAACAAAGCAAAGGATGTTACAGGTCTGCTCTTAGAAGCGAACTGCCTGAGACTGCATGGCTCAGGCCTTAACAATGGACATAAAAAGCCATAGAACTTCAGAGCTGGAAGGATCTTGACTGTTAATCTAGTTCAATGCCCTTATTTTACAGATGGGAAAACTGAGGCCTGGAAATAGGAAGGGATCTGTCCAAGGCTACACACTGAGTTAATAGAGTTGGGCCTGGCATACAGGTCTTGTGACTCTTGGTTCAGTATTCTCTATTAACAATGACAGAAAGCCATTCCCATTCAATTTTCAGGAATCATGCCAAGCTAGTGTGGTGGTCTTTATGTGGGGCACAGTGGGTAGCTAACTTTCAGGTGTCAAGGCTGCCCCCAGTGGACATCACCTTTGGCTCTGTCACCTTGTAGAAGCTCAAGTGTGCAAAAGAAAAGCTTAAGGAAGCCCTAATCAAGCTGTATCTTCGCCATTGCACCTACCCTTTGCTACACACTGTGCTTGCTCCTGGCTTTGTCTGCAGTGGCAGTTGCCTGAGAACCTAAATTTCAGCAACAGTGGAAAACTGAGATGGAAGATGTATAATGCAGAGAACTGACTTCTCTCTTACGAAATACCAAGAGCTTGTGCTGTGAATCCCCTTCAATGGGAAAAGGCTGCAGTGGTGATAGCAGCCTCCCAAGGACTGCTGCTGAAAGATGCAAGAATTAGATACAGTTTCCCTCTGTAAGTGAATCCAAAATTCACTACAGAATTCAAAGATTGAGGGCACTTGCTTGAAATCAAGGTGCTCCAGACTCTAGCTTTATATCATCATCTCTTTTAAAGTGTGCATGGGTATGTATTACAGGGTGGAAAGGTGGGGAGAAATGTATAGTCATACGCAGGGGGAAGAAGAAGGGAACATCCACGTCCCCTTGTCGGCTATATACTATAGGAATACGTGCCACTCAGTCTTTGTTGGTTCTGAATCTCCCTGAAGTGTACTGACATTTGGCCTGCAGAGACCCTCACCTTCTCTTTCACCTCCTCTTCTAGAATTGCTTTGCTCTATTTTTGTATATATAAATATGTCATGATGATTATTAATAATGTTAATGATATCGCTGCAAATGGTGCCACATGCAAGGTTTGGCTTCTTGGAACATTTATAACCCGAACCAGTACCTGCCACCTCTCATGTTGCTTTCAAGTCCTTCCATTTAAGTAACTTCTTTTTACCTTACAAGTCTGCCTGACTGACCTTTGAACTTAGCCACCCCTAAAAGCTGTGCCCGGTTTTCTGGGTCAAGCTGGATGGTGATGAGTAGCAACACACACTTCTCTTCGCTTCTGCCTGAAATTTGCTTAAAGCTGAGATAAGTAAGGATTCTGACACTAGTGCATTGTTCCTGGAGCTAAAGTTATTCTATGGATGTTTGCTGATTAGTTTCAGGACCCAAAACAACACAAGTCCCTCCTCCTTGATAGCTCCTTCATATCTCAATCCTGCAGTCCTTACTCAGGCAAATTGTGCACTGCCAGAGGCTCTGGGCTCTGCCCTGGGCTCTGCCACACACCCAAAGGAGCTCTTCTCAGTGTATTTCTAAATGGCCTTACACTTGGTAGAAGAAACTGAACGGTTACGCCAATGCAGTTGCAGTCTGCAATCTGCTGAGTCAGGGCTCTCATTTGTGTCCAAGTTGGCCTGATATGGACTGCATCTGGTTTACGTATAGATGGGTCCTGTTGGGGTATGCGCACAGACATGTGAGTGTGCATATATATCCCCTCTGTGAGATATATATATATATATATATATATATATATATATATATATATATATATTTACATATATATATGTAAATATATATCCACACATCTCTATATATTTTAATGTATTGCACATGTATATTTAAAATATATATGAAAGAACTCTAAATCCTGCAGAGAGGCTCTGTTTTCATTATTTTTCTACTTTGTGTCATGTACTGTATAAACAGGAATATTTAGAGGATGTTTCCTGCTTAGCATTTTTTTGCAGTTAAATCATCTGTTACCCCCTAAATCTACTGCTTTCCACATATTGGTCCCTTGATACATTTCATATGGCTTTAGCCAAAAGTTTGTTGTTGTTGTTGTTCCAGCCCATCTTTCCTCATCACAACAGCTATAATAAATGTAGTGAGCACTTACATAGTGCTTACTATGTGCTAAGCACTATTTTAAGCACATCACCTATATTAGCTCATTTAATCCTCACGGCAACTCTGCAATGTATGCACTATTATGATTGCCATGTTACAAATGAGAAAACTGAAGTACAGAGGGGCTAAGTGACTTGTCAAAGGTAACAAAGCTTGTAAATGCTGGAACTAAGATTTGAACCTAGGCTGTCTGACTCCAGAGTCCATGGTCCAGAGTCAGGTATAGAAGTCCAGAGCATAATATAAACCCTTGTGGTATAACAAGCCTCAAACGGTGAATGGTTCTGTCCCTAACTCCAGTCCACCTGCAGCCTAAGAGTTGAAACAAACATGCTACTGTGTTAGGAGTGAAGCAATAGTTACAGACATCATATTATTAACTGTCTTGCTTCCCAAGATGGTGGCATTACACACTTCTCCACTTTTCCCTTTGAAAACATGTTTGCAGCCAGTTACCGTTTCTCAATCAGCTTATGGTATGGAGCCAGTAGAGAATTTTTTTTACTTTGCCAGAGAGGGTAAGAGTTTACTTGGCCTTCTCTTTAAGGGCCCAGGAAATCTAATTCAATTTCTTTCTGAAGAAAGTAGAACTAAATCTATGTTTGGCACTTGAGATTGGTTGGAGCTGTTAACATTCAAGCTCATTGATTATATTGAGTGCATTTTGCTGATTCAAATGTAAGTAATCCACTGATGTCCATTGGTCAGTATACCACCTTACCTCTTCCCATCACCTACTTCACACAGACATTATTTCAGAGCCAGAAAGACCCTTAAAGAACATCTATTCCAACATCAACATTTTATAGTTGGAGGAAAAGATGCACAAAGAGAGAAAATAACCTGCCAAAGTCACACAGTTATAAGTTAGGGTGGAATTATGACAATTCCAGATTTCCTAGTTGCCAGATTCCCTGGTCTGAGTTTCTTAGAAAATAGAGCTTGAAGCAAGAGCTTATGTGAAATCCCAAGGAAGTAGGAGCAAGGAAAAAGAGGTAGGGAAGGAGGGAGAATAACCTGTTTCATGACAAGCTAACTTCTCAATCTCTTATGATAGGCCATACTGTATCTCAGCCCATCTGCGTGAGGAAAGGGGAAGAATTCAACTCCTATCTCCCATCTCATTAGTCAAATACCTTCCCTGTGGAAAATTAGCTCCCCTGCACTTTTGGGTAATGCATGTGTGGGTGCCCAAGCATGTACCTTGGCATCTTAAGCCTCAGCAGCAATGGGGTAGCATTACAGACAGCAAGGCAAGTGTGCGTATAAAGGGAGACATATGAACTTAAACTGGTACACTAGGCTGGTGCTTTTCCCTTACGTCTTTATTCACTTTCATTCAAAGTGAGTTAGAGATAGCCTACAATTTTTAAAGTATATAAGGCTTTATTGTGGTGCTCAGAAACATACTAAATTTGCCTTCCTAAACCTATATATTCCCCGACTTGTTTTTAAGGACTTCTTTCTGCATGGAAATGAAGTTCCTAGTTCAACTAGAGAAGTAACAATCTAGGCCCATATCCTTATCTTGACCCTTAAAGCAGTGTTGCTGCTTTCAAAGGCCAGAATGAACAAGACACACAGCTTTCAAGGAAAGACATCTTGCGAGTGACGCTGCTCATTGTTGTTTAGGGATCTTTCTGTCATTACGATCAAAGTGATGTACGTTGCTCCCACATATATTTGCTGGCCAGTTCCCTGTAAAAGAAGGGGGTAATCCTGACACACAAGTTGTCATTCTCCAACTATTAAAGCAATCCTTTTGGCTGTACTAGATAATGGTCATGTCTCTGATAATAAAAGACACAGATGACAAGGATTAGGAAACCCCCAAGTCCTTGAAGAACTGACCAACACTGCTGTTGCCAGTCACTAAGGAAAGAAAACAGAGATAATCCTTCAGGTGAACACCCTAGTTTTATTAATACAGGGCTTTAACCTCAAGTCACCTGTATGTTCTATTGTGATAAGATGAGGTGACCCGTAAATGCATCCTAAGGGCTCATTTTGAACCTATGTCCTAAGGCCTAAACTACGGGAGACTGAATGACGCCCTTGGCCCCTTCCTCCTAGTCCACACTTTAATCTTAGCCCTCAAAGTCTTACCACTCTGGTGACAAAAAGAAACACTAAAAGGGAAAGGAACACTAATTTTTATAATATCAGAAATTAGTTGGCTTAATTTTACTCTGTAAAAGTTTTAAAGGATCCCCTCCAATGGGTGTTAAGGCCTCCCAATAAGGAGAAGGCTCCAGGCCCATTGTAATACATAAGGTATACTGAAGGAAAAAGAGAAAAAAGTAGTGTGAAGTAATACTGTATGTAGGTCCAGAAAGAAAAACAAATGTTAAGAAAAAGCTATGTGAAAGAAAAAAGCTCTGTAATCAGTTTGTTTCTCTCATCCAAAACTCCATTTTATTAACCTCTTGGCTCTGTTGTATATTTAAACTCCTTTTTGTCCTTGACTTGTAGCAGCATTCGTTTTTTTTTCAAACTCCTACAACACTTCCACTGGAATGATTGTGTGTGTGTGTGTGTGTGTGTGTGTGAGAGAGAGAGAGAGAGAGAGAGAGAGAGAGAGAGAGAGAGAGAGAGATGGATAGAGCCTTGAGCTCTCCCCTAGAGGTTCAGAGTTAGGGTATGTACTCTAAAACTTTCAGCCTTTCAAACTCCCTTCCAGGACATGTCCCCATAGTACTTGGATCTTATACTAAATGACAAAGTTTCTCTCCTTTAGAGAGAAATACCAGACTGGATTTGTGGCTTTACCTGGATTGGCTTCTTGGTGGTGTGGAAATTACAGTAACCTGAAACCAATTAAATCAGGATCTTTGGAGGTGAGGCTGAGGAATGGATTTTTTAAAAAAGCTTCCAGGTGTTTATAATACACAAACAGGGTTGAGAAAGCTCAGTCACCTCGTTCTATAAATTCAGATACTGAGGTTCAGAGAGGGGAAACGACTCACTCATAAATACACAGTGAGTTAGGGACAAAGTTAGGAATGTGAGAATCCAGGTCTGCTGACTCCTAGGCCAAAGTTTTTGTCTTTATATTATGCTGCTTTTCTCTACCCTGTGCCCTCTCTGGATCTTTGCTTTCCTCATCTGTAAAATGAAGATGATAAAGCCTAGAGATTTTGTGAGAGTCATTAAAGTAGAAGCATCTTTTAATGTACAAGGTTCTGCACAAATGCAAAGGAATGTTATACTTGAGGGAATTAATGTACAACACATACGTGAGGCTGAATGTCTAAAACAACATAATGAAAGTTTTAAAAAAAGTTTAATCCATCAATCATTTGGGTGTTGTGACTACCTGATAACGTGTATGAAGACTGAACACTTGTGTAGGTTTTCTGTACCTTTAAACTAAACTTGGCCTCAGTGACAATCAAAGAAATTAGAGCTGAGGACAGAGGTCATTCTTTTATTTCTCTTTCCCTCACTGGGATAGGGATTAAAAGAAATATAAAAGCAAAGGGATATTTGGACTTCTCATACTTGGTCAATTACAATGTGACCTTAGAACTGAACAAGCCTAGGGTTTCTATGGGACTTGTAGATCCCATTCCTGGGGTCTTTCAGGGGTTGGAGGGAAGGGGGTCAAAAAAAGGACATCTCTTCTGAAAGGCAGTATGCATAAAAAGCCAGCAGGGAGGGCTGCCCATTAGGAGGAGCTACTGCTATAGAAGCCAGAAAGGAGGGAAGTGGCTTTCTGATTTGGCTCATTTGAGGAAGTAGATTATTTGGGGATCTAGTATCCCCAGAATGATCTATAACCGCAAGGAACATGTTTCCTGAACTCCAGGGCCCCGGAACAGAGTATCCAGACCCATTCCTGTCCTTTCCATTCCAGATATTAGGAATTTCCAGAGGGGGCCACTTCTGTTCTCCTAGGAGTCATATATCTGGCTACTTGTTTATTTGGTAAAAATGGAATTCTGTACCATTTATAGAATGGACTTCTTGTGTCTTCCTCATTTTGAAAGTATAATACACATTCTTAATTCATCATTAATTTTTGCCAATGCCTTTTAAGTATTTATTTGAAAGTTATTTGAAAATATGAAAATATATTTATTTAACAAAGCACTCCTTTATCCTTAGTTGAGCCATGCTAACAAATTAAAAACAAGCCATGATCAAACTGTTTCTATGTGTCACATTACAAGCTAAATTTAAAAACCTATTTAGTAAATATATCCTCATTTCATCTTGAAATGCCTCCTTTTTAAGCGGGAGGTAGACATGGAATTAGTGGGAAGCAAGAGGCCTTAAAAGTATAGTGATGGGCACTTATAATCTAGACCTGCCTTAGGCAGGGCTTACCTTTCAGGTAGTTAAGAGGTGATGAGCTATAGTCAATCAGGAAAAACTGAGTCGTTAGAGGCCATGTTTCAGTAGTCTATGATTTCCTGGAAAATATAATCCAAAAAACTCCTTGCTAATAACTACACTGCCAATAAAGTGCTTGTACTTTGCCTGATAACAATTAACACAAGAGCCTAAGATGAGCTGCATAAAATAGCATGTGGACCAAATGAGAAAGCAGACTGTAGTTCTAAAGGAAGGATCAAATTTGGTTGTGGTGTCAGCCATAGGCATTAATTGTAGGGACATTGAAATCTATTTC